ACGTTGGCGTATAAAAGTTACATTATAGTACCTAATAGCATTTACATATAGACAATGTCAAGAGCTAATAATACATAGAGTGTACAACGGAAAAACGGGAAATAGTGCTATTTCACGACATGATTATTCTACTTTGCCTGCGAGTCTAGAATAATTTTATTGGTATTGCATTAAGCAGAATTCTTTGCTCTCTAAAACAAGACCAACCGCTTGTCAATACGATACTCCTAGGTTGAGATATTGGCTCATAAACTCCCCCTCCCACAGGCCTCACGGCGCCTCGAATCCACATCAGTCACCATCCTTCTCGCCGCTAAGGTTGCTTCGTGAGAGTTCGGTTTTTCCGCGATAACTTTATGAATGAACGGCGTTTCGGTTATCATAGGTGACTTTCCGTGGCATCGCCTATGCTCTTATCTCCCATTATCTTTCCTAGCAGGCTAATGCCCGTCACGATGGAGCCGGCAATGTTTCCTAAATTAAGTTTACAACGCAGTTCAGTTACTATATGGTGTAGTAAGAGTACCAAATTTGGACATGTGACATCAATTGTCAGCGCTCCAAGCGGGGACGGAAACCGATAGCCAAAATGCTTAGGGGCGAGTAGGATGGAGACTGATGTGGATTTGAGGCGCCGTGAGGCCTGTGGGAGGGGAAGTTTACGAGCCAATGTCTCAGCCTAGGAGTATCTTATTAACAAGCGGTTGGTCTTGTTTTAGAGAGAAAAGAATTCTGCTTAATGCAATACCATAAAATTATTCTAGACTCGCAGGCAAAGTAGAATAATCATATCGTGAAATAGCACTATTTTCCCGTTTTTCCGTTGTACACTCTAGTTATTAGCTCTTGACAATGTGTGTAACATAAAGAATATATACTATGTAGATAAAAGCAGTACATTGTATAGACATATTCATGATAATAGCAGAAACAACTATATGTGTATAAATTTAAATTTATGTGCAGAGAGGTCCATGATGTTAGTGAGTTCCTGTAGGAATTGCGTTAGAAATTTATTATGTACTGAATGCATCGCATACATTGTGATGCAGATATTAAGTCGTGGGCGACTAGCAGGGAAACTTATCCACATTCTCGACAGCAATATTTTACGGGGGTCTTATATGCGACAACACGTTATATTATTACATGTAGGCTACATGTACATTACAGTGTATTACATAACCACCCCCCCCCCCCCCCCCCCCCCCCCCCCCCCCCAACACTGTTATCCTATCAGGGAAACGATAGCGATAAAACTTGTTCAATTGCTTCTAGTGTTGATAGTAAAATGATATTTTTTTGAATAGAAATTGTTTCTGAAGTTTTCCTACACTTACAAGATCTTACATACTCAATTATTAATTAAATTAATCATAATTACGTTGGCGTTTGCAGCAGTATACATCATATAATGCAGAATCACATCATTCATATATTCCACTGCACAGCGAAGCATATATAATCAGGAGTGTATCATATAGATTATATATTATCTGTAATATTTACACTCGCCTTGATAATAATTACATTAATATTGCGGAAATGTAAATACATAGTGATCAGTAATCCACAGTGTAGAGGTGCGGGCAAGTGGTGGGTGGACACCACCGTAGCCTCTGGAAGAGGGTGCAAGGGAGCAGTTGGCTTCTAGGTTATGGAATAATAAATGAATATATAGAATAATCCTAATAATTCTAAATAGCCTTAAAATAACTGTATAGCATCATGTCGGCGCGCAGGAAACCATCACAGACACCCCCACCCGCTACGGTATGTACGTTGACTGGGAGCTGCATCTTTTTCCCCATCATTACTCAGGTGAGTCACGACCTTCCCACAACCACCAAATTAGTAATTTGCTGAGGCTACGACCTTGGTGGGGAACACTTAACTATAGGTGCGTCAGTCCGGCGTGTTGACTACCTCTGCCAGTAGAGGGCACCTGCCGCCTCTGGCACTTTCACTCCTATCATTCAGGTAACTTTTTAGACGGCGGTTAGAATATCGAACAATGGGGGGAATGGTTTTATCTATGTCATTATATGTTATACTTTGTTATTGTATTTGCTATTATATATGTATCTAAACAAGAATTAGTGCGGTAGTAGTAATTATAGTACGGTACAAGTATCGTATGGCGTTAACATCTCACCTCCACAGCCCCACGGGCAATCCAGTTGCAAAAGAGTTCGCCACATTCGTTTATGCTGACATATCTTCCCGGTATCCTCGTGACTGGACAGTTTAGCACAAGATGATCTATGTATGCTATAACACCTAACCGATTATACGCAGTTTTTGCGTTTTCTGCGATCGTGTGAGTCCGTATGCACGCGCGTGCTTGTGTCCGTATGCACGCGTGAACGTGTGAGTGCGTGCGCGGTTGTTTGTACCTATCTATCTGTCTATCTATCTATCTATCTATCTATCTATCTATCTATCTATCTATCTACTTAGCTATCTATCTATCTATCTATCTATCTGTCTATCTATCTATCTATCTATCTATCTATCTATCTATCTATCTATCTATCTATCTATCTATCTATCTATCTATCTGTGCCTGTGTGAATATGTGCATAGACTAACAATATATTAATCTATATAATAGATATTGTTAGTCTGTGGCATGCGTGCCTAATTTTACCGTTCCTCCTAATTCATGCGTGAAGTGCAATGCACATTAGGGGTAGGCTAATAGGAGTTCCTAACGTGAGTTCCGATGCACATTATTAATTTCATCAGTTGTCTTATTGCTCTACGGATGCAGTTGCCGTCGCGTATGATAATTGCATTAATAGATGACGCACCGCGTGAATTTCCGACATCATTTATCATTATAATATTATGTAATTTACTGATTTCATCACAGACGGGCGTCTTTCGCAAGTTGGCGGTTTATCACAGAAAGGAAATCGCTCCATCGACACTTAGATGTCCCGAGGCTCTAACAACGCGTCCCATCACGTCTTGTATTACTAGTACAGCTGTCAGATACTCCTGCGCGGACAGTCCAACATATCGTTGCTTGCGACTATTATTATGTATTGTAGTTTCGTATATATCTTATATTATCATTATACTATTATTACTACGTAGACATCATTTATCGGCATCCTTGAGACACGTTGTAGGCGCGTTTTTCAGGACGCGATAATAGTGTCTAGGTCAGTGGTTCTTAATATTTTTTGAGTCTTGGACCCATTTGAGAATCTGGTGAAAGCTACGGACCACTACCCAGAAAAATGCACGTAAGCACATAACCACAAAATCTTGCGTGCGTCTGGTTCACGGACCCCCTGAAGCCCATCCACGGACCCCTGGTTAAGAACCCCTGGGTGTAGGTGGTTTTATGTGTTGAGCGTCTTGTCATGAGTTGGTGTTTTTCATCCACAAGGTCGACTTCACGTGGTAGCTATATAAAATGAGTGGGTTGGTGACATTTCTAAATAACGCGTAGAAGAGAAGAAATGGTAGGTGGAAGACGGCGGAGATGTGTAAGAAGGGGGAAGAATAAAACAGGGAGAGGGGAAGGAATTGGAGTTGAGGGGGAGGAGAAGGATGATGATGATGATGAGGAGAAGGGGGAGAAGGAGGAGGAGGTGGATATAAGACAGGGAGTAAGAAGTGGCAATGGAGCAGGAGGAAAAGAAGCAGAGGAGGAGGTTGTGGGAGCAAGGGTAGGCGGAAAAGGAAGAGTAGGTGGAGAACAGTAAGAGAAAGAAGAGTAGTGAAAAGCACCGGAACGGGTGAGACGGGTGAACGGGTGACCGCGTTTTCACCATTCGCTTCCTGCGTGTTAAGGTCAGTTAAGCTGTTTAAGGTCAGACAATTTAAAATTACCAATCGAAAAATTCCTTACGTTTAGTTGCAAAGGCCGTGCGCATGCGCATTTTCTTGTCGTTCTAACATAGTTCACGATGCCAGCGATGTAGTGTCAGTAAATGAATTACACGTAGATACATGTTCTATCGCGAAAATAGTTTATTTCGGTGGTAACGCGAGTCAATTTGACAAAACCTAGCCGCTATACATACCAGTCTTACTTGTGTTAATGACAAACCGATATCTGCTGACCCCCCTTCCGTCCTCATTAAGTTCACACTCGTGCACACTGCACGCATTTATATTTCGCATTCATGGCGGACGATGTCTGCATGAGAGCCTTTCAGAAATGACGTCAGAAATCAGCATCATGGGTCATTACATCAAACGCACCGCGGTGACGTGGAGAGCACGTAGACACCTGTGTCAACGTACATTAAAGGATATGTACGGTGGGTTTGGAGCACAGCCGCCTTGATCTTGCTTCGCCGCCGCTCAGCATGGAGGATAACACTGCCCTGGCCACGTACACTAATATGCATCTGTTAGCATGTCCGTCAAGGCCTCGGCGAAATCGCATAGCAGTCGGTTG